TGCTCATTTTAAGGAGACAGACACAGATTAAAACAAAACAGAAAAAACAGACTATACAATAACTTGCACACATTTATTCATTCACATTGAATTTCTCTAAAGAGAGCTTGATGTGCAGATCTACATATGACGTGAAATAAAGTATGCTCTGTAATTTAACGACAGTTATGACATTTCCCATTCATGACATTATGCTTTGCTCTTTACTTTGCCTATTCCTATTCCCGTTTTTGCAAAATCAGCAGTTCCTAGCTATTCAACTCCCCTTCTCCCCATAGACGCATGTAAATTCCTGCATTAAGTTCATGTTGGAATGGTACAGCTCAGGCAGATGAATGCTAATCTTTATCCAGCATTTTCCTCAGTCTTTCTTTTTATTACATCTGCAGTGTGGAGCAGTGTGCAGACTGGAGCTTTTCTGTGGACGTTTAAAGTTTCTGCCAACGGGCTTGTTGGTGACCTACCATCAGAACCTCTGCATTGCATTTAATATTAAGCGATGCCATAAAAATATTTTATTGCATATTAACCTAATAGCTGTTACTATATATACATCACCTTATTGCCCAGGCTCGTTCAGGTTCACTGTGTCCTTCCCAGGCAGATCCCTGAGGTTTTGGGCAGCACCGCTGCCACTGCTCTGTGCTGGCAGCAGCTGCTTTCATCAGGCCCTGACCTTTGCGTCTTGTTGAGTGGGAGAGAAATCGGTCACTTTACAGGCTGTTTACAAGTCGCTCACAGCTAAAATCCACTTAGCATGCATTTATAACAGACCAAACATGCCAGCAAGGTGATATTATAAAGAGTGCATTAAAGGCAGCTCTGATGGAGTCGCCGGCTTTAGACATTTGACAGACGGAGGAAGATCATGAAAGCATAGTCCCAGCAAAAATGGGCATTGGTTTGGACAAATGGTTTGGAGATTGGGGAGGTGACCCATGATTACCCACACACCCCAGTCACATGGGCCATATAAAGGCTAACAAATATGGGTCACAATTCCTAATATATCTCAGTGATATTCCTTAATATTCATACAGATACATACAGATGTTAGCTAGAAGAAAGACACGTCACCACAGGAAGAGCTGTTTAAAAGTTTGTTTTCTTTCCTGTGAACTTTACATATATATTATTTTACATCACATATTTTAAGGACATTTTCAGAACAAAGCCATTCTTCAAAGGTATAGTATATTCAGCCATTGCTTTTACAGTAGATGAGACCTGTGTGGGTGTATCTGTATATCAGTGGTCTGTCACAAATTCCTCTTATGGGTAAATATAAGAAGTGTATGTGGTAGGGATGCACCCATATCAACACCAGTATTTGTATCACGCCTGATATTTCATCCAAATACTCACAAATTTGCTGATCCGGCAAGCAGATCCTCTATACTCAGCTGTGCACTGGTCAGCCGTACTGCAATACTGGTCAGCCGTACTGCAATACTGATGTTAGCACTGATGTTGAAACCTAAGAGTAATGTAAGGTGTTTGGTTTTTTTTATTCTAGCGAATTAGGGTGGGAGTTTTTTTCTTTTTTTCCAACTTTGTGCTCCATTCCAAAGTACACGCTGTTCCTTACAACAAGCCAGTAAATATTATTTTGGCCTCAACTCACTGACTTCCTGAGCAGAGGTTGGACTGGAGCGCAGATGCTCTCTGTAGAAAAACTCAGGAAAAGGAGCTGAGCACTGTGCTGAGGAGGAGGCAGTGGAGTTAACCGGAGGTGTATTTGCATTTGGAGTTACTGAGGGGAAACGGAAGCTACAAGAGCATACTGCAATAACTTCAAGTAAGAAGTTGGCACAGCAATAAAATATATATATATACTGTATTACTGTATCCGTAACACTTGAGGTGTACTGTGAACACAGGAATCTTTTTTTAGTCGTTCTTTTTGTCTCTCATCACACTCAAAATATTTTGTCATTGCCAGACAATATAAATCATTTCCTGTTCCTGTTCCAAATGTTGTTCATACCTTTACTACTTCGATCCAATGTCATGCCATTTTCACTGACAAAGAGCAGCTCCGCTAGCCAAACGCTATGATACCTAACATGTGACAAGTGTGTTGAACAGTCCTGTAGGAAACGGGTTGATGTTGCGTTCTATTTGTAACAACATTTTGAGCATGTTGAAAGCCAAAAAACAAAGCCTTTCCTAGAGTTTCTCCCAGTTTTGAAACTGATATTACTTTGGGTCTTTACCAAAAAAAATGTGACAGCAGTGCTGCCCTTAACAATGTCATCTCCATTGAATTTTTCTTCAAACCACCAGTCATAGTTGCATACCTTGTGTCTCCAGACAGAGCGAGCTGAGAGGGGTAATTGTGACAGACTGAAGTAAAGAAAGGCTATAAAAGCACGCGAGTGCAGCAGTGGCCTCTGCTGAAGTATTAGCAGGACAAGCAATTCTTTACCAGGTTCTTTGGCAGCAAAAGAATGAGTTTTACAACAGTGAAAAAGGCAGAAGAAAGGAATGGGAATTGACTCTTATCTCAACCAAACGAGGCAAAGAGAGAGAATTAAATAGCATAATGTATCAGCATAGCACAGGCAGGGTGGGTGTAAGGAGGAGCCAAAGAGGTTTAAATAGAGACAAAGTGAGAGGAGCGCCTGATTACATTCACATTACTATTTTTTAAGTTTCTGGTCTGGATGAACCAATCAGACAGAGGCTCGACGGTAAACTGACAAATGTGTCTACATTTAAATTAAATATGACATTTAAAAAGTGCCAAGTACTGGTCAGACAGTGGTAGAACACATGAAACACTATTGAGGGTAAAGCAGCTGAACCAGCATTTGGACATCACTCTATGATGTAAAGATTGTTCAGACTAGGAAGCAATAAAACAAAATGAAATGAAAATGTAAACAGGGGCTGAATGGAAATTCTTCTGCTGTATTTAAATTGTGCCTATCAAAGATGTATCATCGATGTTCCGGATTGTACGTCTTTGTGCATCACTTTGTTTCATTGTTCAATTTTATCGTGAGTTGAGTCTTATTTTCACATTTTCTAGTTTTTTTTTAAGCATGATCAAGTTTAATGATGCAAGAAACACCAGCGGCGGAACAAGTGGGAAACACTGAGTGGAATAAAACACAAACAGTGCGGCAGAATGTCTTTATATCGCTGAATGGATGTTTGATTTTTACAATAAACAGTATTTAAGCGTTGCGCACCATATGATTGTCTCATTGTTTCCAAGGTAATTTTATGTCGCTGCATTAGCATATAACAGCAATTAACTCGCTGAGCATAATATTGTTGATACAGTCACAGCTCTGTGCTGCTTTGTGCTGCAGGCAGCATAATAATAATGTTATTGTCAGAGACAACACAAGTTCAAAATGTGCTGGTGTTTTGCAGCTATCAGTCAGGTGTCGTCTGAGTTAAATGTTAATTATGGTCCCAGTCACCCTTGAATAAACTCTGATAAAAACCATTCACCTTTGTAATGGGCGCATGATAGGAATCCGTCCAAGGTTTCAACCATAACTCCTAACCAAGTTTTCAGTGGTATGTTACTTTGATCAAAGATGTTTCTGAAGTATTTTCAAAGCCATTTTTTTCTTGTAGCTTTTTAAAACTTTAATACAGGTATTAGGATGGATTTTTTTTCTTGTTGTTGTTGTTTTCATTTGGTTTGGGGGTAATTTAAGACATTTTTATTATATATTTTGCTGCTTTCAACAAATTTTTCCTGTTTTGGTTGGCTTTGGCTACCTTGACTGAACTGTTGTTGTTTTTCCTCTACATACCTAGAGCAGACGTATCTGATTAAAAAAGATAAAACTTCAACACTTCTTCGGATTATAGCTACTCTGTGTTTTTTTTTTTAATTTGCCTTTTTTTTTATTTTTATTTTTTTGCCTACACCTTTGGACATTCCTTCTCTAT